CAAGCAACATGATGACAATAAAATCATATCTTTCAATAATCACTCTCAACATGAACGTCCTAAATGCTCCCATAAAATGGCACAGGGTTGCAGATTGGATAAGAAGACGGGACCCATCCATATGCTGTCTACAAGAGACTCATTCTGAAGCTAAACATACATCCAGACTAAAAATGAAGGGATGGAGAGCCACCTTTCATGACAATGACTGCAAAGAAAGCTGGGGTAGCCCTTCTCATATCAGACAAATTAGATTTTAAGCTAGACTGTAATAATCAATGCAGAGGGACACTACATGATGCTAAAAAGTGTCTATCCACCAAGAAGATCTAACAATTGTAAATATCTATACCCCTAACATGGGAGCAGTCAACAACATAAGCCAACTGTTAACAACAACATAAAGACATATTGTTAGTAATACCCTAATTGTAGGAGACCTCAATACTCCAGTATCAACAATAGACTCATCATCTAAGCAGAAAATCAACAAAGAGCTTCGATGACCCACTAGACCAGTTGGACCTTATAAATATATACAGAATATTCCACCCTAAAACAACAGATTATTCATTCTTCTCAAGCACTCATGGATGTTTCTCCAGAATAGACCACATACTGGGTCATAATTCAGGTCTCAACTGATACCAAAAGACTGAGATTACTTCCTGCATATTCTCAGACCATAATGCTTTAAAAGGAGCTCAATCACAAGAAAAAGTTTGGAAGGAATTCAAAATCTTGGAAGCTAAAGACCATCCTACTCAAGAATGTTTGGTTCAACCAGGAAGTCAGAGAAGAACTTAAACAATTATGGAAACCAATGAGAATGAAAACACATCTGTCCAAAACCTATGGGACATGGCAAAGGTGGTCCTAAGTGGGAAATACATAGCCATCTAAACCTCACTCAAAAAAAAAAAAAAAAGAAAAGAAAAAGAAAAATCATAAATACACCTACTACGTTTACACCTTAAGGAACTGTAGAATCAACAACAAATTAAGCCTAGCCTATGCACTGGAAGGGGAACAATTAAGATTAGAGCAGAGATCAATGAATTAGAAACCAGAAATATAGTAGAACATATCAAAGAAAGTAGAAGCTGGTTCACTGAAAGAATTAATAAGATCAATAAAACACTGGCCAGACTTATCCAAAGGAAAAGTGAAAGGACCCAAATTATTACATTATGAATGAAAGGGGAGAGGTCATTACTAACACCAAGGAAATAGAAAGAATCATCAGAAATTATTATCATCAGCTATATGTCAATAAGTTAAGCAACCTAGAAGAAATAGTTGCATTCCTGGCAACCTATAAATTTCCAAGACTGAAACAGGGAGAAATTGACAATATGAATACATCAATAACCAGTAACAACATTGCAGCAATGATCACAAACCTTCCAAAAACAGGAGTCCAGGACATGCTGTTTTCTGTGGGGAATTTTACCAAATATTCAAAGAAGAAATAATACCTATTCTCCTGAACCTTTTTCACAAAATAGAAACAGATGAAAAAGTTACAGACTCATTCTATGAGGCCAGCATTACCTTGAGTCCAAAACCAGGCAAAGACCCCATAAAGGGGAGAATTTCAGACCAATATCCCTAATGAATATAGATGCCAAGATTCTCAACAGGATCCTAGCTAATAACATACAATAGTTCATTAAAAGGTTTATCCATGACAACCAGTGGGATTTTCTCTGAGCTGCAAGATCCCTTCGACACTTGCAAATCAGCCAATGTGATAGAACAAACTAGTAAGAGAGGAGAGAAGAATAGCATGTTCCTCTCAATTGATGCAGAAATAGCATTCTGTAAAATACAGCATCCTTTCCTGATTAAAACTTTTCAGAGTGTAGGAATAGAGGGAACGTTCCTCAATTTCATAAATTCCATCTGTGAAAAACCCACAGCAAATGTCATCCTCAATGGGGAAAAGCTGAGAAATTTCCCCTTAAGATCAGGAACATGACAAAGTTTTCCCCATTTTGCCTCTTTTGTTCAACATAGTACTAGAAGTCTAGCAACAGCAATCAGACAACAAAAAGAAATAAATATATGGTCAAAGAGTTAAGCTCTCTCTTTTTGCAGATGACATGATACTTTATGTGGAAAACCCAAAGACTCCATCCCCAAACTGCTAGAACTCATACAGAAATTCAGTAATGTGGCTGGATACAAACTCAATACACAGAAATCAGTTGCTTTTTTATAAACTAACAATGAACCCGTGGAAAAAGATATTAGAGAATCGATTCCATTTACAATTGCACCAAAGATCATAAGATACCTTGGTATAAACCTAACAAAAGAAGTAAAGGATCTATACTCAAGGAACTACAGAGCACTTATGAAAGAAATTGGAGAAGACAGACAAAGATAGAAAAACATTTCATGCTCATGGTTCAGAAGAATAAATATCATTAATATATCTATGTCATATATCTGTGTCATAATATGCTGTCAAAAGCAACCTATACTTTAAATGCCATCCTGATCTAAATACCATTAGCATTTTTCAAAGTGCTGGGAATAATAATCCTAAAATTTACATAGAACCAGAAAAGATCCTGAATCAAAACGGAAATGTTGAAAAAGGAAAACAAAGCTGGGGGCATCACGTTGCAGGATTTCAAGCTTTACTACAAAGCTGTCATCACCAAGACAGCATGGAACTGGCACAAAACAGACACATAGACCAGTGGAACAGAGTAGAGAGCCCAGATATGGACCCTCAACTCTATGGACAAATAATCTTTGACAAAACAGGAAAAAATATACAGTGGAAAAAAGAAAGTCTCTTCAATAAATAGTGCAGAGAATATTGGACAGCTATGTGTAGAAGAATGAAACTCGACCATTCTCTAAAACCATACACATAGATAAGCTCAGAATGGATAAAAGACTTCAACGTGAAGCAGGAATCTATCAAATTCCTAGAGGAGAACATGGGCAGTAAACTCTTTGACATTGGCCACAGCAACTGCTTTCAAAATGTTTCCAAAAGCAAAGGAAACAAAAGTGAAAATGAACTTTTGGGACTTCATCAAGATCAAAATCTTCTGCACAGCATGGAAGATAGTCAACAAAACAAAGAGGAAAACCACAGAATTGGAGAAGATATTCACAAAACACATTACAGAAAAAGAGCTTATACCCAAGATCTATAAAGAACTTCTCAAACTCAACACCCAAAAAACAGATAATCATTTAAAAAAATGGGCAGAAAACAGGAAGAGACACTTCTCCAAAGAAAACATACAAATGGCTATCAGACACATGAAAAATGTTCATCCTCATTAGCTATCGGGGAGATTCAAATGAGAACCACATTGAGATATCACCTTACACCGGTTAGGATGAGCAAATTAACAAGACAATAAACAACATGTGTTGGAGGGGATGTGGAGAAATGGGAACCTTCTTACACTGTTGGTGGGAATGCAAGTTGGTGCAGCCACTTTGGAAAACATTGTGGAGATTCCTTGAAAAGGGAGTTGAGGGAAATTGGAGTGGGAGGTGAACCATGAGAGAGACTATGGACTCTGAAAAACAATCTGAAGGTTTTGAAGGGGCGGGGGGTGGGAGGTTGGGGGATCCAGGTGGTGGGTATTGGAGAAGGCACGGATCACATGGAGCACTGGGTGTGGTGCAAAAATAATGAATACTGTTATGCTGAAAAAATAAAAAAAAATTAAAAAAAGAAATTAAAAATAGAGCTACCCTATGACCCTGCAATTGCACTACTGGGTATTTACCCCAAAGATACAGATGTAGTGAAAAGAAGGGCCATTTGTACCCAAATGTTCATAGCAGGAATGTCCACAGTCAACGAACTGTAGAAAGAGCTAAGATGCCCTTCAACAGCTGAATGGATAAAGAAGATATGGTTCATATATACAATGGAGTATTATGTCTCCATCAGAAAGGATAAATACCCAACTTTTGTATCAACATGGGCCAGAGTGGAGGAGACTATGCTGAGTGAAATAAGTCAAGCAGAGAGAGTCAATTACCATGTGGTTTCACTTACTTTTGGAACATTAAGAATAACACAGATGGCATTAGGAGAAGGAAAGGAAAAGTTAATTGGGATAAATCAAAGGGAGAGATGAACCTGTGAGAGAATCTGTGCACTCTGAGAAATAAACTGAGTGTTTTGGAAGGGAGGGGGTGAGGGGATGGATGAGTCTGGTGGTCGGTGTTAAGGAGGGCATGCATTGTATGGAGCACTGGGCGTGGTACATAAACAATGAATCTTGGAACTCTGAAAAAATAAAATAAGATTTAAAAAAGTTTTATATTCACTTTGATGTGTGTGTGTGTGTGTGTGTGTGTGTGTGTGATCTTCAGATTCTGTACCCACACAACATCCTGGTGCACATTTCCTCTTCTTTCCCACGTTGTCATTAACATTGATACTGTGAGTATAGTTCAAGATTGAGACTGTACCAGGGCTGTTAATTCTCTTGCTTTGCTGTTGATGCCTCTGTAGGCTCATATCCAGCACGCACTTTACACTGGTTTTGACAAGTTTTCACATTGGGCTGGGTTCTCCTCTAATGAACAGAGAGAGTAGCTGGGACTCCTTATAAGGTTCAGGTGACATACATGGAGGTATTTATAATTCATTGGTAATTGGTAATTCATAGGCAAAGTTATATTCTTGTGGTTGGCTTCACAGAGAAGACGTGGTATTACAAATGGAAGAAAAAATAAATAAATATCCCTGTGGACAGCTGAGAGTCTAGAGAGGAAGTCCCTGATCTCAAAGAAGCCAACCCCACTGCACCTGCTCCTGGGTCTGATCTCTGCTGTGGATGCTGAGCACTCTCTGCTGCCCTGAGTGCACCTGCAGCTCAGCACATCCTGTGTCAACAGGGAGGTTTCTGTCCTGGCTCACACTGAGGACCCCTCACTGTGTCCTTCGCACAATAATACATGACCATGTCTTCTGCTCTCAGGCTGCTCATCTGCAGATACAGCGTGTTCTAGATGTTGTCTCTGGAGATAGTGAATCGACACTTCACAGAGTCTGTGTAGCTTGTGCTACTTCCATCATATCTAATCCATGCGACCCACTGCAGGCCCTTCTGTGGAACTTGGTGGAAGCTGTTCATGCTGTAGCTACTGAAGGTGAATCCAGAGGCTGCACAAGAGAGTCTCAGGGACACCCCAGACTTCACCAGGTCTCCCCCAGACTCCACCAGCTGCATCTCATACTGGACACCTGCAGACACAAGACATCTCAGTCAGGCTGTCACACACCCAAAGTTTCTCTCACTCATATCCACTCACATCCTCAACTTTTTTTCTCCATAAATTACCTTTTAAAAGAGCAAGAAGGAAAACCCAGCAGAGCACAAATTCCATGGTGAGTTGTCTGTATTCTGTCCTGAACACTGACTGGAATACCTGGGTATCCCAACCTGGGGCTCCTCTCCCAGCTGCAGGATCTTGGCTGTGTTGGTTAAATCAGCAGAGGGAAGGCCCTATTTGCATGTCCTCTGGCTATATATTCATCTTGGGGATCTATTGTTACAGAGAGGCAGTGACCCAAGCTGTTGGAATGTCTTTAATTTAGTGCTAATGACAAATTTTGGAAAAAAAAGTTTTTCATTATATAACTTTGCAGTGTGTATACTTGGGTTTGTAAGGTGTCCATGAACTCATATGGGGTGAGATTGACCCCAGGATCTTGGTCAGTTCTACCCCCACAGGAGCTTCTGCCCTCCATCCTGAATCATCTGCTGGACAGAATGTCAAGCTATGAGGAATGTGGAACCTCTCCTCCAATGGGGATGGGTTGATTTTCTTTATTTTAAAGTTTACTGTAAATACAGAGTAAATCAGGATCATGTAGGTGTATTTTCATATCTGTAACATTCCATTCTCTCTGCTTTCCTCCAGGATCACCTTTGTTATTACCTATAATAAGTTTGATGTGTATATTTGACACAAGATGAACGGCCCACATACGGAGTGTGTGATATGATAAACACAGGTGTCACAATCAACATTATTGACAGTGAGTGTACCAGTTTTCCCTAAAATTTTCAGCATTACTCCTGGAATTCCTCCTTCCCTTTTCCTTGTTTATCCTATTCCCACATAACTATTGTTCTTTCTCATGTCACCTTATACAAGCTTTAATTCTCTAGAATTCATAAATGGGTCATTGTACTCTATGTACTTTCTTTGTGGGCCTTCTTTGCCCCAGAATTAATCCTTGTGGATACAGTCGTGTTGCTGCCTGCATCAGGAATCACTGGTTTTAATGACGGACAACTCTGAAGGCAGCAGTTGGAAGCACCAGCTGGGGGAAGATCTGAAAGAGCAGAAAGAAGCCACTTGCTTCAAGCCTCACCCACATACCCTCTTGACCCTGCAATTGCACTACTGGGTATTTACCCCAAAGATACAGGTGTAGTGAAAAGAAGGGCCATCTGTACCCCAGTATTTATAGCAGCAATGGCCACAGTCGCCAAACTCTGGAAAGAGTGAAGATGCCCTTCAGCGGAAGAATGGATAAGGAAGATGTGGTCCATATACACTATGGAGTATTATGCCTCCATCAGAAAGGATGAATACCCAACTTTTGTAGCAACATGGAGGGGACTGGAAGAGATTATGCTGAGTGAAATAAGTCAAGCAGAGAGAGTCAATTATCATATGGTTTCACTTGTTTGTGGAGCATAGGAAATAACATGGAAGACATGTGGAAATGGAGAGGAGAAGGGAGTTGAGGGAAATTGGAAGGGGAGATGAACCATGAGAGACAATGGTCTCTGAAAAACTTCCTGAGGGTTTTGAAACGGCGGAGGGTGGGAGGTTCGGGGAACCAGGTGGGGGGTATTATGGAGGGCACGTATTGCATGGAGCACTGGGTGGGGTGCATAAACAATGAATTCTGTTGTGCTGAAAAGAAAATCACACACACAAAAAAATGATTCCATATAAACAACAAGATAAAGGATAAACAAGTAATGTAGGTGCCTTGAGGGTTTCCAGTAATGAACTCGTCAAGGGGAACCTACCCTCATGATCAGATGGCTAGTCACAGAAACCCACAACCTGGGTTTAATGTTGGGGACATGGGGTAACAACATTATGTCCAGTGACTGAGCTGCACAGCTCATGGCAATAGGCATAACACAACTCTGTAAAATGATGGTAAAACTCAAATCCTCTCAGTTATCACTGCCACAAACTCTGAAAAGGCCAGAAAAAATGTTTGGGTTCATGTGTCACTAATGTCTCTGTGTGTTCCAGCTGGTGTAACAATGTACACGAACTGGGTGGTTTTAAACATTAGACACACATTTCTCACAGTTCTGGAGTCTGGGAAGTGCCATGTCAAGGTTCAGGCAGATTTGGTGTCTGGAAAGTACCCACGTCCTAGGCGGTCCTTTCCCTGTAAACTTACATGGGGCCAAGGGGCAGAAAGCTTTCCCAGCCCTGGTGTATAAGAGCCCTAATCCCATTATGAGACTGCACGCTCCTGACCTAAGTGCTTCCCTAAGTCCTCACTCACTCATTCCATTAAATTGGTGTTAGGTTTCGACGTAGTGATGGTAGAAATTGTACACATTGAGCTGATATCAGTAACTGAAGGATCAATTAGTTATTCTCTGCAGGTGGAAGGCTCCTCCCAACCAGCACTTCAACCTGAGCATTCTCATAGATCCTGTTGAATCTTCTAGTCTCTATGTGCCCACAGAGTTCACAAGACCATCAGAACCTGCTGGTGACCTTGGGAACTGGACAGCTTTCACCTGAGACACTGGGTAAGACCCTTGTCCTCTATTCATAGGCTTCTTATTATTGTCTGCTTATATATTATCATTCATATTTTCAAGGGTCTCAGATGGTCTTCTACACCTATTTATCACTTATATTCCTTTTCACTCCTTTTTGTAGTTGTTGCATGGAATTAGTCATGAACTGTATCTTCTGATGACTTTTTACTGGCATCAGAAGTCTCATTCCTCCATCTTCTCATGCTCCATACATGGGTAATCTAATAAGAAAGCCTAGGTTCTAAGATGGGATTGGTTGGGAGACAACATAGTGACTCTTAATCTCACAAAACAAACTGAGGGTTGACGGGGGGAGGGGGGTTGGGACAGGGGGTTATGGACATTGGGGAGGATATGTGATATGGTGAGTGCTGTGAAGTGTGTAAACCTGGCGATTCACAGACCTGTACCCCTGGGGATAAAAATATATTATATGTATATATAAAAAAAACAAAAGCCTATGTTCTGTGCCCTTGATGTTCCAGATCCCTATTGAATTTTCCAGCACTAACAATATCACAATAAAAAAAAAATCCCTGATTTCGTGTCCTTTCTAAGGTTTATTGAAGCATTTCTGACATCCTGGGAGGCATCCCCTGAAATCAACAGACACTTCGATGATGGAGGTGATTAACATTTCATATTCTCTTGTAGGTGTGTATCGTATCATCTGATTCACCAACTGTACCAAGTGTGTTTGAGGTCCTCTGCCTCTGGATGGTGTCAGCTAAATAGATTCTGTGAGCATGTGGTCCACACAATGACCCCCCGACACTGGGGCCATTCTTCTCTGGCTTTGGCTTCATGACGGCCCTGTACCTGATATCCAGCATGAACTTGATGATGCTGGCTCACAGCTTGTACACTGGGCTGTATGATGCTGTGTTGTTGAGTCCAGCTGAAACTTTTACAGACTTAGCAGGCTTACATCAGAATGTCCGTAATTGTCATTGAGGGAAAAGATTCATCAAGTGTAAGTGACTTCCTGCCTTTCATATAGTTTTCTCCTATGATAGCCAACGTTTCTATTCACAGATGTAAGAAGTAAGAATAAATCATAATTCTAGAAAGTCTCATTGGGGAAACTGGTTTATGGAAAGGAAGCCCCAAACTGTGAAAGGAAACACACATTTAATCTCCACCTGCACCCGCTTCTGGTGTGGAAAGTGTATTCGTGGGTCTTGAGGTCCCCATGGTGACCTGAGTATCCCTTCTGTCCTGAGCGCCCCTTGTCTCTTGAGCACCCTGTGGTGACCTGAGCTACAGAAAGTGACCTGAGTTCCAGCTGGTGACCTAAGAGCTCCCTGGTGTCCTGAGCACCCCCTGGTGGATTCTGGGGCCACCTGCAGCCCCGCGCCTCCTGTGTCCCTGCAGGGAGGTTTGTGTCTGGGCTCACACTGATGTCTCCTCAGTGTGCCTCTAGCACAGTAATACACAGCTGTGTCCTCGGTGGTCACGGAACTCAGCTGCAGGGAGAACTGGTTCTTGGATGTGTCAGCGGTGATGGAGATGTGGCCCTGGAAAGCCGGGTTGTAGCTTGTACTACATGTCCAATAGTACAACACTCCAGTGCTCTCCCAGGGCACTGGCGGATCCAGTTCCAATAGTAACTGCTGGTGATGGAGCCCCCGGAGACAACACATATGAGAGAGAGAGTCTGTGAGGGCTTCACCAGTCATGGGCCTGACTCCTGAAGTGTAAGTTGAGACAGGACACCTGGGGACAAGGAGAGTCATGGTGAGTCTGTTCCATCCCACAGAAGGGCCACCGTCTATCCCAGAGCCCCCAGATCCTCACCCAGGGGAGCTGCCAGAAGGCAGAGGAGGAATCACAGCAGCTGCATGGTTGCCTGCAGAATGGAAAGCCAGCACGCTGACCTCTGCCTGTGATGTCTATTTCTTCTGGGAGCACTCCAGGTGATTTGCATGTGGGTCCCCACAGAGGAGGGGAGGCCTTAAAAGATCCTGAACCCTGGTGACAGTCACCAGTTCTTGGTGTCCCCATGTTGAGTGGTGTGAGGACCCACTGAGCCTGGTCCTAGTGATCTAGGCTCCAGCCCTGCCTGAAATGTTCTCTAGCACCAGTTGCTCAAGAGGGGTTGTGCTGGAGCTGATGAACGTTTAGGAACCTTATGAATGTTCTCTTGTATTCCATTGCCAGGCTGTCCAACAGTGGGCTGCAAGTTCAACCTGCAGAATTACCTGTTCATAAACCTGGAGGACAAGGCAGTTGTCCAGACTCCAGACCCTGACTGATTGCCCAATTTGCGTCATTTGCTTCCACAAATCAGATATGGGGTCTCAGATGATGGCAGTGGATGCGATCTCCAGTCTCCACCTACAAAAGGGATGTTTGGAACTATACTCGAGCATTTACATAAGGAAACAAGCTCATCCCTGTAGAGGGCAAGGCAGAGAGATTGGGTGTTATGTGGATATTATTTTCTTTTTTAAAATTTTATTTAAGTTCAATTAGCCAAGATAAAGTACATTATTATTTTCAGATGTAGTGTTCAGTAATTCATCATGTGTACAACATCCAGTGCTAATCATATCATGTGACTTCCTCAATGCC